TTGAGAAGTGAAGAATACATATTCCAAGAGGAAGTCTGAATCTAGACTCATGTGAATCAAACGCATCACAGAAAGTTCAACTGAAAACAGGCCAGAAAATAAGGAAGTGGAACAAATAACACTTTAAGAGAATAGGATGGAGTCCGTATAACCCACACTAACTTGGATGGTATAAAACACCTTCTTTTAAACTCCTGCATCAGCTCCCTGTCTTCAAAGGAAACTGGTAGCCCCACATGCACTATACAGGCCATGAAATAATCACATAAGGTTTGCGTTTTCACAGTACTATTTAAAATCAGTCTCTGTTTCCATATGACAGGATGAAGTTCAGAACCCTTACAAAAACAGTGGTGTTCAATGATTTCATTAAGATTTTTATAGGACGCCGTTGTTCCAAGGAAGCCATTTTACCTTTGAATTACTTCAAATCTAAAGCAGATAAATCCAAGCACTGAAAACAGCGTAGAGACCTGTCAGTTCAGTCCCAAGTGCTAAGGCGGGTCTGAACTCTAAAATCTGAAAACTAGGCCTGGGAGGGATGGTTTTGGCCTTTCCATGCTCCCATATGCCTATACCGCTGGAAAGGCCAAATATATCTATTTGCCAGTGACTTTGTGTTTGTTTTCTAAGTTGTATTTCATGTATGATTTAGAGTCTCAACTCTAACTTTACACGATGTTAAAGGTTCTGTGGGGAAGAATACAATACAAAAAAAAAAAAAACTTGGATGAGATGAACCTAAGAATATTTAATGACTCTTTTTAACCACTGAGCGTGGTACTCCCGATTATCCCCAGCGGAAGAATGAGGAAAATAAGGCTGGGCCCCATGAAGTCTAACTAGCCCAACGTCACTCAAAGCAAAATCCAGTTTGAACCCAGGCCGGTTCGGATCCCCAAACTTGACACATGCAGTGGCTCCTAAGCGCTAGTTGTGTTTGCAAGACCCCGACGTCCTGCATATTCTCCCCGCTGTAGAGGAAGCTGGAATGTCAGGAGCAGGGAAACCATCTCCAGGGGGGGCGGGGATCCTCTGGCGAATCTCGGTGGGAGGAAGCGACGAGTGTCACTCGCCTCGGGCAGGGCCCCCTAGGGAGGCGGGGGTCCGGATGGCTGTGTGGGGAGGTGAGTGACACCTGCAGCCTGCGGGGGCCGCAGCCGGGAGGACGCTCACATTTTACTTCTGTAAACGGCTTTCCTGTGGATTGCCCAAGCCCCTTCCTGTTGGGGAAGCGGCCCCGACCCCGCAGCCTCCTCGTCTGGCCGGGGACAGAGGGAACAAGAAGGAAAAGAGGGACGGAGGGACTGGAGGGCGGCGGCCCCTGCCCGCCTGTCTCTGTCGGGCCCCGAACGAGGCCCGCCCCAAGGCCGCCCTGGTTCCTCCTCGTCGCGACCCCGGGCACGTAGTTCAGGGCTCGACCGCCGGGACCCGCCCGACCCAAGGAGGCGGCCCCGGGACAGGGGTCCCGGCCGGGATAACTGAGGGGAGCGGGCCCAGCCGGCGCGACTCACCCGGCCCGCTGCAGTCAGCGCACAGCTCGCTGCTCCGGAGCCGCTTCGACATGGCTCCCGCCTCCCACCTGCCAGGAACCAAGGGTCCCAGGACCGCGAAGGCGGCGGCGGCTGCGCTTCCGCTCTAACGGGTCCCGCAGCGGCGCTGGCGGCGGCGCCTCTCCCCTCAGCGCCTCGCAGCCGCGGCGCAGCACGCACGCGCGGGGAGGTGCCCCACGGCGACTGTAGGGTCATGTGACCGGAAAGGGCATGCTGCCCCGTCGCCATCTTGAGTGAGGGCAGATATTTGCCCCAGCTTCTTCTGCCCGCCTTCTAAGTCTTGAGTTGGGTCTCCCAGTCTGGGGAGAGATTTGCTTTGTGCCAGCACTGATTAATACCAAGGTAAGCAGCAAAAAGTGACCAGAACTCTGCAGTCATAACATGCCTGGGGCAATCAATAGTCGTTACTTTAAGTAACTTTGGCCAAGTTCGTTAAGTTACTCATTCCTTTAGTCAACAAATATTTATTGGGCATCTACTATGTTCCCATACACTGGAGAAATAGTGAGCAAAGAAGACAAAATTTCCTGTCCATAGGGAGCTTACATCCTACTGTGGTAGGTCTACAGTAAAATAAGTAAAATAAAGATATGTTAGATGTTTCTTTAGACCGCAATTTTAGCCTTAACTGCAAAATGGAGATAAGGTTTGATCTACCTGTAGCCTGAGATTTGCTTTTGTGTGGCCTGCTACCTAAAAATGATTTTTTACACTTTTAAAGGGTTATAAAGATGAAAAAGGAGAAGAGAAAGAGATGAAGACTCTGACAAAACTCATGTATGACTGGCAAAGCTAAATATTTATTATCTGGCTAAGGACAAATGGAATAATTTACAGAAAAGTGCGGTGTGCCTGTCCCCTAGTAAGCCCTCAATAATAGAAGCTCCTATTATTATTGGTGTTTATTATTACTATTGTTTTCTAATCACAACTTTTTTTTTTCAAGAATAAGAATAGAAAACCTAGGGTAATTTATACCAGTAATTAACAGGATGGTGTGAGAAAACATGAGGTAAGTTTAAGCAGTGTGAAGGAGAAAAGAGATGTGATCCTAATGTTATTGAATATTTAGAGTATGCATTTCATGTAAATACAGCTATGATCACCATTCAGCAAATACTGGATGCCTACTGTGGGCCAGGTACTGTTTTGACTTTAGGTACTTTGGTAAGCAGCCATTGCGGCATTTTCCAATTAATGAATAAGAGAGATGTTCAATAAACATGTGATGATGAAGAGAAAGAAGATTAATTTGCACAAGGCTTCTGAAAGGAGAAGTCCTGGAAGAGGTTTCAGGAGCACTGGTCTTTGGTCCATTTCTCCGTTTTGATAAACAGGTGCTGTGGGAATAACCACGTAATTCCCACACAGACAGCAGGTAGAGCTCCTGGGTACCATCCTGATTCTCCTACATCCTGTGGTGGTTTGCAGATAAATCTTGTGAACTCAGCATGCATGGAGAGTGGATAGGCCAGGATTCTTGGAGAGCTGTTGCTGTAGGCATCTGAAAAGCTGGATGTGCAGAAGATGGAAAGCAGGGCGTATGCTTTCAGAATGTATTAAATAGCTTCACTCAGCTGAGGTACAGCAGGGACATGGGACAAGCATCATGATGAATTCTTTCTGCCTATGATGAAAATGTCAAGATATGAATAGTATAGAAAGAACAGGAGGGACTCCAGCTTAAGGCTAAGATTCCATTTTAAAAAACAGGGAATTAGGAGGTAAGATTCCTAACATATTTTATGGTGATTAGCCAACAACCGACCCTATCTTAAGGCAGGGTGAGCAGTCTTAAAGGATATGTTTCCACTGCTTGAGGGTAACTACTATCTTGGAGAAGAGCAGGATCAATAAATTCCTGTGTTTATCTCACAAACTATCTAGAGGACTCTGGATGGTGACATAATGTCTCTCATGGGAGGGAGACATCATTAGACCCCATGTCGAGCATATACCCTCCCACAGCCCTTTGCCTCATTCTTGAAATTCTTAAATGACAGAATCCTAAGACTTTAAGCGCACTTCCCTTTCTTCGAGTGCATACTTTGCCTTAAATAAAGACTTCTCACTGCTCTAAGAGTTTTGCCTCTGAGCTCTCCCAGTGGTAAGCATCTTTGTTATTCACGATTTCATTCAATTTTCTAGACTTAAGCACAAGTCTTCACTCTGTCCTACTTCAGACAAGTAGGGAAGGGCTACTAAGATCTCTGATTTAGTCTTGCAAGTTCCAGTCACCTGGGTGATCCAGATGAGATTGCAGCTGTACAATTAGGCTTTCTAGTAGACTGCCTGAAAATCTCCTTTCTTTGCTTTAGGAAGTTCTCAGAACATTATCTCACTCCTTCAGTGCTCTGTGGCTCCCTCAAATCCAGGGGTGGTAGGGACTTAGTCTCCACACCGTGCAGATTCAAGCAGACACTGGATGCCAGGTGACCCTGGCTTAGAAGTTGGCAAGGGATTTGCCCTAGGCTGAGCAGGAGTTCAATAAGCTTTCCAGTCCTTCCTCCGTTCATCCTTGCTCTCTGCTGCTTGCAAGGCAGCTGCCATTCCCTACTCCTCTCGCTTTAATGAATTCCTTCCTTACCTTTACTCATTGACTTGTTCAAGAATTCTTTCTCGATCAGAGTCAAGAACCCTCCCCCATCCAAGCTGAGGTTTCACCTAGTGTGCAGGGAGAGACCTCCCAGACGAAGCTGCCTGACAACACAGCTATGTGGTCTACTTGCAGACAGCTGTGCAGAAAGCTCAGGCTTGTGAGTAGGTGCAAGCTGACTTGGTTGTTCACTGAAATAAGGAGCCATAGTGTATTAGGTTGAAACCCAAAGAATAAACTCAACTTTTGCTGAATATGCCAAGTCTGGGTATTAACTTTTCAGCCATAAGCCCAGATACTCATATGTAGGAGAAGCTACCATCATAGCTAACTTGAGATCATTAAACCAGTGTGGAGTTCAGATAGAACAGTGTTCTCAATTGGGGGTGATTTTTCCCTTTCAGGGGACATTTGGCAATATCTGGAGGCATTTCTGGGGGTAGTGTTATTGGCATCCGGGGGGTAGAAAGGCCAGGGATGTTGCTCATCCTCGTACAAAGCACAGGACAGCCCCATAGGAAGAATTATCTGGTTCAAAATGCGCCTGAAGTTGAGAAACCCTGAGATAGAACTATCCCCATACTATCCCAAGTATTTAACGCCACTTCGCCAGAGTTCATAAATCCACTTTTAAAATTGTTTGGTGTTGCCCACTTCAGAATGGCTTCTGACCGATTATGGAAGCGTCTGCCCAGGTCCAAAAAGACTGCAAGGGAGTCAATAGCTGGAATGGTTTGGTTCAGCTCCTTTACTGTCACCCCCTGACCGCAAAGCCGATGGAAGAGGCCCGGTTGTGGGCGGAACCATATGAGATCGTCGGAGCAGGGGGGAAAGAGGTTGATGACAAGTAGACTGAGTTTTCCATGCAGAGATCCTGGGCCGAGTTTTAGGTCTTCTCGGTGATCACATTGTTTCTCCGTGTGGAGTCGGAGGTGCGTGGGATCGAGCGGGCCCTGGCTCCGGGTGGTTGGCCTCGCCTCCCCCGCCCCGGTGTGCGGTGGTTCACTCCGCGCACTTCCCCGTTTGGGGCAATTCTGCCCGGCGCGCAGAAGTCGGGTGCGGGGCGCGGGGTGGGCGCGGCCGCCCCTGTCCCTGACCCGGCCCGCGACCGCCGACCTCCCGCACGCCCCGCCCTCGGCTCGCTGGGCCACCAGGCTCCGTGCCGCGCCCCAAGGTCGGTCTCCTCGTTCTCTCTCTGGCTGGCCGCCGGGCGGGCGGGCAGGCGCCGGAGTCCCCGCGGGGCTGCGACTTGGCAGGCGGGTACTGAGGGCCCGGCTGCGTCCTCCCCGCCATGTCCTCGGCCAGCGACGCCAGCGGCCGCTTCCCTCTGCACCTCCTGGTCTGGAACAACGACTACCGGCAGCTGGAGAAGGAGCTGCGGGGCCAGGTGAGGAGCGGGGCGGGGATCCGCGACCCCGTGACAGAAGGGGGAGTCGGGGGTCGTTTCGCCTCCCTGAGCCCATCTCCAGCCGTCTGCCCTCGGGGCCCCGCACACCCCTTCAGCTCTGCAGCCACGGGACAGTAATAATAATAGGCCATGTACTGGAGTGCTGTGTGCCAGGCCCTGCGCCGAGGACCTTATATACGTTACCATTTTACCATTCCAGCAATCCTAGGAGGGAGGTAGTACTATTGTTACATGTGACAGAGAAGGAAACTGAGGACCTTGTGCAAGGACGCCCACCTAATAGATACCAAGTCGGGATTTTGATTCTGGCCCGTGGGCCCCAATGTGCACTGTCTTACCCAGATAGGCTCTGCTGCTTCTCCCACATATGTAAGTAAGCACGACGCACGCCCCTCACAAGACCCAGCCTTTTTGTAAAGATGGGCTTGGTCGGGTTTGAGTCCAGGTTCTAACTCGCCCTTTGGCCTTGGGCAAGACGTATCCCTCAGGTATCCAGGCCCAGGGAGGCGGATACATACCAAAGTTTGAGAATCACTGGGTGCACAGGATCCTTAAAATCCCTTCCTGTTCTAGAGTGCTTTGATGCCTTGTCTTCTATTTATTGCCATCTCTTTAAAGCCCGTGGTTCTCAGTTGGAGGCACTTTTGACGCCCCCCGCCCATTCCCAAATGCTAATGCATGGAGACATTTTTGGTTGTTATAGCAAGTGGGTGCTACTGGGAGCTGGTGGTAGAGGTCAGGGATGGTGCTCAACATCCTACAGTGCCCAAGACAGCCCCCAACTGAGAATTATCGGGTCCAAAATGTCGGGAGTGTTTGCTTGAGAAACCCTGATTTTAGAGGCATCTCAACAATCCTGGGAGCTGTTGGTGCCCTCCGGTTACAAGCTAACCGACTTAGCAGTTAGGATAAGGATTTGTAATATTAGTAGTCATTGGTCTTAATTAGATCATGCCCCCTGCCCCCAGTAAATGATTGACCAGTAGGCATCTCAGCATACCTTATGATTTAATTCCCATTTTGTTACTCGACATGGCTCACAGGGAATCCACTACCATTTTGCTTTCAGTTCTAAGTCTCACCTTGGACACTGTAAAAATGAGCAGACTGTCCTCACTCAGTATCATTTTGCATCTGCACTTCCTCAGTATCAGGGCCACCCAGCTTCTTGTGAAATATTGAGACAAAGTACAAAAAAAGTCACAGAACTACAATCCCATTTGATAAGGAGTTCATCATCATTAAACCACCCACTTTTCCAATACTGATTTCTGAAACCACCAGTCTTTCTATTCATTGGAGGTGAAGAAAAGCATTTAAATGAAGTGCAGTTTTTCTTTGTTGATAAGTTTGTTTGTTAAGAACAAAGTCTTGGTTTATAATCTAAAATGTGGCATAGTTGAATTATCTCCTTTACTGGCAAGTGGTGATAAAAGTGTTCAGTGAAAGTTTTCTTTGCTTTACCTTGAATAACGTTCAGGACATTTGGGATTAGAGAATTACAATTTTGCAGCACATTTTCCTGGAGTAAATTGGTCCTTAATGCCTTCAGCTGTCAAGGGGGTCAAGGAAGAGTATACTTGCTAATTCTTTGGTTTTGACTGTAGGTCATTTCACAGCATACCACCGGTTCCCCCTGGGAAAGAGGTAGTTGAAGTGTATTCATACAGAACATCTTGAAGGAGAAAACTTGACTGTCATGCCCATGAAATCCAGTTTCCATCCTGAAACATGGCCATGGCGAGCGTCAAGATGGGGCTGGCGTCCAGGGTGTGCTGTGTTCAGAAGGGGGTTGTGCCTGTTTTAATGCTCTGATGTTACCACCTCGAAATTCTTATTTATTTGAATAAGGGGCCTTGAATTTTCATTTGTCACTGGGCTCTGCAAATTATGTAGCTGGTTCAGGATCAGGAAATTGATAATTGATACCATTAAAATATGTGGCAGGAAATACTTTGTAGCTTTCCTATTTCTTGAGACCCTCTGTTAATTATGAAATAGGTACCTGCATCTGTGCCTTGACGGCAGTTGGGTTCATGGCCCGTACTAATGCTGATTCAGTTGTGAGTGTGGGTGTTTTTGACCTTTGCTAGATTGTTTCATCACCTGTAAAAATGGGGAGAATAATACTGAAAGCTTACTATTTGACCAGGCACTGTGCTGAAATGTTTTATGGACATTTTAGATTTAATTCTCACATGAGCCCTCTGATGATTCCCATTTTACAAATAAGAAGACTGAGGTGGAGAGGCTCAGTTGCGCACTTAAAGCAGGGATGGAAAGTCGGTCAGACTCTGCCCTAATCCTATAGTCTGAACCCTTCTTCCTATATTTCTTTTAGTAAAAGTGGCTTCATTTCAGAATTGTGGGAAATGAGGCAGAGAACAGCTCTGAAAGTACAGGCACATAATAAATGGGAGCAATACCACTTACCATAGTGACTGCTGTTATTACTGTGATCATCCTGGATATTTAGTTTCTTTTAACCATGTTCCAGTTTTTGTACGAGGAACATGATTTGGTTGCATAATTAAAAACAAAAAATTCCTATTGTCCCATCAGTAAGACCAGCTGTTTGGCTTAATGACTTGCTTGCCAGTAAGCCTCTGCTGTCCGACCCTTCATTCCTTCCATCCCACGAGTGAGACATGAAGTAGGCGCACTGGTAGCTGTTAAGAATTTTACTTTGTTCTAGGAACAGCAGCACAGAAAGACTCAAGTTCATCCAGATGAAGAGGATAAGCCCAGGTCCCTGAGTTTGTGTGAGTTGGACCAACCCCACTGTCTTACTGATAGCTGGAGTTTGCTGTCTGTGTTAACTTTGCCAGTCAAGCTTTTAACATTTGCTTGGCAGAGGCACTTTATTAAGTGCTTCTTAATCCATGAGCTCCTCTGTCTTTAATATTTAATGGGGCCTTGAAGTTGGTTGGTGCAGTTGAAATGGTTCATGTTAGGTTGGGTCATTTGTCATGTAGCTAGAAAGGTCTGCTAATCATCTTTTGGCCTTCTTCCTGAGGCCAGGAGAATGAAGAAACTTAAAGGGACATCTGAAAAGGTCAGTAGTGCATGTCAGGCAGGGGAGGGAAAACCCTGGGACCGAGTGGGGTGAAATGTGGCAGATGAGGCCTGACTTAGGGCCAGCCTCCAGTTAGGGAGCCAGCAGGTGAAAGCACAAACTCCATGTAAGAGGAAGAAGACATTCGAGGCAGGAGCAGTACTCACAGCCTGATTGGGAACTACCGTGGGGTTCTCACCACTGTCTGCTGCAGGTGAGTGAGGCCACTGGGCACATACTCCAGTTGGTGCCTGTTAGCTGGAGGCCTGCCTGGAGCCAGGGGCTGTGCATGCAAGATGCAGAGCCTGTAGCCTACTCTCAGGTGCTCTCCCTTGGCCCTTTGGGGTTCAGGCTCACTTTAGAGAACCAGGCCTGGGGATCCCTTTCCCTGCCTGGCTTGGGATGGGTAACCAGTTTGACCATAGCTGTACAGGACCAGGACAGTCTGAGTGCACAGGAAGGGGGGTGGTTGACTCTGCTAAGAGAAAGGAGGGCCAGTTAGCAGCTTCTTGCTGGAGGTCCCCCAAAAGGTAAAAGCAATAATTTACGAAGCCCTTACTGTACCCTAGGTACAGAGGCACAGAAGAGTTGAATAATTCACCTGAGGTGAGCGAGGCACTTGGAAGTGGGCCTGTTGTCCAGCGCTGCAGCCAGCACTCAAAGCCCTGCCTTTTACTTGCACCAGAGGACAGCAGAATGGCAAAGGAAAGTCAGGGGCCTTAAATTAGCAAATAGGAAGGAAATGTGCAGAAATCTCATTCCTTTTCTTCTCTGGGCCCTGTTACAGTTAAAGGGGGTGGGTATTTTTAATTTGGTACAGATCATGACTGAACAAACTTGAAGGAAAAACTTAAACAATCAGCTTGGAAAGTGAATTCCTGTTAAATTCTGAAAGCTCTTGCTCACTGAACTACTGTCAGTAGTTAAAGACCCTAAGCCCCACTATTAAATGTAATGACATTTGAACAAATCCCTTTTAGGAAGAAAGTGACAGCTCATATAAAACTACGCAGTGTGGGTGTATGGTAATGAGAGCTAACTTTTCTTAGCACTTACTATAGGTTGAGGCATTGTGCTTTCACCCTTGTAAGAACTCTGGAAGGTAGGTGTTTTCTATTGTTCCCAGTTTACAAGGGAGCAAACTAAAGCTCAAGAGAAATTAAGGAACTCGTCAAACAGTATATAGACAGTAGATTAGTTTTATATATTACATAAATCCCATATGTACTTTGACTTTTTAAAACATCTTTATTGAGATAATTCACTTTATCATTCAATTCATCCATTATAATATTTAATGGTTTTTAGTATATTCACTGAGTTGTGCAACCATCACTATCAAATTCCAGAACATTCTCATCACCCCAAAAATAAGTCCCTCACCCCCATTTCCCTTCAACCCCTTCAGCCCCATGAAACCATCGATCTATGTGCCATCTCTCTAGATTTGTCTATTCTGGATATTTCGTATAAATGGGATCAAACAACATAACATAAGGCCTTTTGTGTCTGGCTTCTTTACCTTAGCATGTTTTCAAGGTTCATCCATGCTGTTGCAGGTATCAGTACTTCATTCCTTTTCATGGTTGAATAATTTTCCACTGTTTGGATATACCACTTTGGTTTATCCATTTACTGGTTGTTGGACATTTGCTTTTTCCCCACTTTTTGGCTATTGTGAGTAATGCTGCTATTCACATTTGTGTACCAGTTTTACATTCACATTGTGTAAATACCTGCCAGAGGAATTGCTAGGTCATATGGTCACTGTGTGTTAACTTTTTGAGAAATGCCAACCGGTTTGCAAATTGGTTGCATCATTTTACAATCCTACCAGCAGTGTACAAGGGTTCTGGTTTCTCTACATCTTTGGCAACACTTGTTATTATCTGTCTTCGTGACTGTAGCCATCCTAGTGGATGTGAACTGGTGTCTTCTTGTGGTTTTGATTAGCATTTCCCTAATGATTAGTGATGTTGAGTATCGTTTCATGTGCTTATTGGCCATTTGTATATCTTCTTTGAAGAGAAGTCTTTTCAAATCCTTTGTCCACTTTAAAATTAGGTTGTCTTTTTCTTTTTGAGTAGAGTTCTTCATGTATTCTGGATATTAGCCCCTAATCAGATACATGATTTGCAAATATTTTTTCCCATTCTGTGGGCTGTCTTTTTACTTTCTTTATGGTATCTTTTGAAGCAAAAAAATTTTCTGTTTTGGTCAAGTGCAATTTATGTGAATTTTCTTTTGTCTATTTTGCTTTCAATGTGGTATCTAAAAAGGCTTTTTCCTAATCTGAGGTCATAAAGATGTACTGTGTTTTCTTCCAAGAGTTCTTTTGTCTTAGTTCTTACATTTGGGTTATGGTAAATTTTGGGCTAATTTTTGGATGTGGTATATGCAAAACTTCATTCTTTTGCATGTGGAGATCCTGTTGGTCAAGCACTATTTGTTGGAGGGATTATTCTTTCCCCATTGAATTATTTTGGCACCTTTGTTGAAAAATAATTAACCATAAATGTTTAAGTTTATTTCTGGACTCTTAATTGTATACCATTGATTTATATGTCTATCCTTATACCAGTACCACACTGTCTTGATTGCTGTAAGTTGGTGTAGTAAGTTTTGAACTTAGGAAGTGTGAGTCCTCAGACTTTGCTCTTCTTTTCAAGACGGTTTTAGCTGTTCTGGGTTCCTTGTATTTCCATACGATTTTAGGATCTGCTTGTCAGTTTTGCGAAAAGCCAGGTGGAATTTTCATAGTAATTGCACTGACTGTAGCTCAGTTTGGGGAGTATTGACATCTTAAATATTAAGTCTTCTGAGCAATGAACTGGGATATTTTACCATTTATTTAGATCTTAATTTCTTCCAACAAAGCTTTACAGCTGTATAATTTTCAGAGTATAAATTTTTTACTTCTTTTGTTGCTTATTCCTAAATGTTTTATTCTTTTTGACACTATTGTAAATGGAGTTTTCTTAATTTCATTTTTGAGTTATTTGTTACAAGTGTATAGAATTACAGTTGAGTTGTGTATATTCATCTTTATCCTGCAATCTTGCTGAACTTGTTTATTAGCTCTAATGCTTCTTTAGTAGATTCATTTAGGATTTTCTGTATATGAGATTGTGTCATCTGTGAATAGAGGTAGTTTTACTGCTTCCTTTCCAATCTAGATGCTTAAAAAATTTTTTTTCTTGCCTTATTGCCTGGTTAGAATTCCTAGTACAGTGTTGAATAGATGTTATGAAAAGATAATGTCCTTGTCTTATTCCTTATCTTAGGGAGAAAGCATCCAGTCCTTCATCATTAAGTATGATGTTAGCTGTGGGTTTTTCATAGGTGGATGCTCTTTGAGGAAGTTCCCTTCTATTCCTAGTTTGTTGAGTTTCTTTCTTTTTTTCTTTAAATCATGAAGGGGCACTGAATTTTCTTAAATGCTTTTGTGTGTGGTGGGGCGAGTGTTTGTCATCAGGATAATACCGGGCTCATAAAATGAGTTGGGGAGTTTTCCTTTCTCTTCTTATTTTTTTGGAAGAGTTTATGAAGAACTGGTATTAATTCTTTGAATGTTTGGAGAATTCACCAGTGAAGCCATCTGGACCCAAGTTTTTTTTCCTGGGAAGTTTTAAGATTCAATCTCTTATTATAAATTCATTCAGATTTTCTATTTTTTAAGTCAGTTTTACTAGTTGTGTGTCTGTCTACAAATATGTGCATTTCATCTAAGTTCTTTAATTTGCCAGCGTACAGTTTTCATTGTGTTCCTTTATAATAATTTTTATTTCTATAGAATTGTTAGAATATCCCCTCTTTCATTCCTGCTTTGGTAACTTGAGTCTTCCTTCTTTTTTTGGTCAATCTAGCTGAATGTTTGCCAATTTTATTGATATTTTCCAAGGACCAGTTTCGGTTTTGTTGATTTTTCCCTACTGATTTTCTATGCTGTATGTTACTAAATTCCACTCTAACCTTTATTCATCCATTGTCTTTAATCACATTGTCACCATAATGTACTGTAGTATTTTTCCTCCCTGCTCTCTTTTCAAATGAGAATGAGGCCCAGGAGGCTCTGAAAAGTTATAATTAGACATGCAAAGTGTACTGCTATGTGGCTTACAACATACAAATTTCCCTGTGGTCCAAAATAGAAAAAAGTCAACAACTTAATGTATTTGGTTTTGATTTCATACATCATATCTAATGGTTGCCCATTTGTCAAGTTAAGAGCTTGAGTGTTAGTCCTGCCTGAGATGTTAGCTTTGTTCTGGGATGTGAATTGCAGTAAGCAGTTATCCCTTTTGTGAGATATAAGTATTGTTAAGCATCTCCTATGTGTCAGACAGTGTGCTAAACCTAGCACTTCTCATGTAGGTTGAACTTGTTAGGAAGGGAAACAGTTTATATAACATGTGTAAGAAGCTAATGAATTTGCTGATTCTTTCTTTATTGTCTAAACTTCAACTAAGTTCCTAGTTTTCAGTCATACTGCTTTTTTCCAAAAACAATGATTGAATGCAAATTAGAGACTAGGGTGGCAAAAGCTAGGAAATATTAAGACTTGGATCCTACACTTTGGAATTCTCAATCTCTTTGGGGAGAAAGATAAGCCATACCCTAGGGAAAAGTCAAGAACTCCTGGGAGGTGGTGTGGGACCTGTGTCAGGAGACGTGCTGGTGTTTCAGTGCCTGGGAGAACGCTGAGGCCTAGGCAGTCCACGAGGACGTGTGTGCACTTAGCTGAATGTTTTCAACCACTTGTATTACTCCTCGGTAACAGTTTCTGTCTTCACATCAGCTGTGAGACAATTAGTAAAACAAAGAGGCTCAGTAGCTATTGGATAATAGTTTACCCACAGTCCTGCTTCTCTTCCTTCCTGTGGCCAAGAAGTAGCATGTCCTGGATATCTCTGGTGGCTGCAGTTAATGCCTGCACAACTAGCATCTCAAATCAAGATAAAGCCTATTTTCTAAGAAGTATTATGGCACTTAAAACGTTTTGATATTCCCAAAGTCCCATGGCAGTTCACTGTGTCCTTGAAAGAACACTCAAAGGTGTCCTTGGACACCAGTCATTCAGACTGAGCTCGCACGAGAGAAAGTGCCACTTGCTTCTGCAGACCCAGTGCAGGTGCCGGAAGGAGGGCCGGGAATGAGGAGTGAAAGCCAGACGGCTGTGTCCAGCATGGGGAAGAAAACCCTTGAGGGGCAACGGACCAAAATGGCATGTGTGTATTACGTTTATCTCCGACTCTGTCCACATCCATGCCTGGTGGGTCATGCCTATTGTCTGTAGGACCTGTGGGTGCTACTTCGGGACTCTTGGAACGCAGTATACAATAACGAGAGCGGTGTTTTGGTGGGAAGCCAACCAGAGAATGTAGTTCTTGTCTGACCAAATTATCTTCTGTACTTTCAGTTTTGATGAAAGTCCAACACTTCCTGTTCTAGACTTGAATGCTGATTTGTGCTTGAGAAATCCCCCATGTTCTGTGTCATAGGGCCAAAGGGGTGGCATTTCATGAGAGCCCCTGGCCTTATTTAGACTTAATTTAAGTGCTGTTGAGAGCTGAAGGTTGTATTTGATGATAGGAGACCTGTAGCCAGCATTTAATTTTTAGGCCCTTAACTTTGAAGAAAAAAGAACTCAGTAACTGTCATCTTTGTTTATTGTCCCCAAATGTATATTTCAACCTTTCCCATGTGCAAGCATTCATTTTTCCATCTATTGTTGTAGTTAATGTGTAAATGCTATTTTCTATTTTTATGTTTAAAATGATCTCTCAAGCACATTTCCGTGTTTTAATGTAATGTATCCAATTATATACATGCCAGTGTTTGTTTCACAGAATGTGGAGGCTCTGGATCCACGAGGTCGAACCTTGTTGCATCTTGCTGTGTCTTTGGGGCATTTGGAATCTGCTAGAGTCTTGCTCCGACACAAAGCAGATGTTACAAAAGAAAATCGTGAGGGATGGACAGGCAAGTAGACTTAAAATAATGGAAAGGCTTTCATTTCAGTTTCTTTTTCTGAACAAAGGCCAGTCTCAATCATAATCGTCTTCAGAGCTATCTTTATCTTAAGACAAAGTTTCTTGGGACTAGGGGCTGGGGCGAGGAGATGAGAGTCTTGGAGGCTGCTGACTGATTTGCAGCACAATGGCCCAAATTGTGTCCTGGGCCAAAAGCCCTCAGTGGAGAGTGTCTCCTCACCCAGAAGGCAGCTATCAGCGTACAACCTTTCCGCTATGCATGCGTGTGGAGGCCAGACTTCCCCTGAGGAATGTGATGGTAGCTCCAGTGAATCCATCAGGATAGGCAAAATCAAAAGGAAATTGTCAGGATTTCAGAACCGGTGGTAGGAAAAGGAGGAGAGGGACAATGGTAGAGGTTTTATCAAGATGCTAAGAGTAACACTATTTTATTTTCACTGAGTTAAGAGCTAGCTGTGAACAGTCATGATCATAAATGATGAGGCGGGACTGCAGCCTCTCTTTCTCTTTGAAGAAAAAATTGGTCTTTGATCTATACTGACTCTTCTCAGATTGGCTTTGGAATTTGTCAGAAAGCATGAGAATACCGGATAATTAAATTTTACCTGGTTTTTAGTTTTACATGAGGCTGTGAGCACTGGTGATCCTGAGATGGTGTACACTGTTCTTCAACATCGGGACTTCCGCAACGCATCCATGGCCCTCGAAGGAGTTCCTGAGCTACTCCAGAAAATTCTCGAGGTATCTGTAAAAATGTGACAGTGCCATAATTTAAGTGCTGAAATGATAGCTGGAGACACAGCATGACATCCTTGTGTGCCTTCCTAAAGGATTTTATGAATTGTGAATACAGTAGATATATTGAGTATCAAACAGCATTATTCCTTGAGTGTTAAATATATGGGGACTCTCACAAACTCTGTTTCTAGGTCACTAGACTTAACCTTTTAAGTGCTATTTAAAAAACAGTAACTTAAGACAGATGGCCATCAAACAATTAATTTGTCTAAGTACCTGTTTTCTTAAAAGTAGTCTTCTGAGCATAGGTCACCTTCAGGAAATTGTGAAGAGCGTCAGTTGCTGTACATGGATTTGCAGGGCCTGTTAAAGCTCAGAGATCTGTATGCAACTTCTTACCACTCCTGTCGCTTCCAGCCATTAGCATTTGTGCCTTATTGTAGTTACAGGCTTTGGGGCAGTTTATCTGTCCTGTGAATTGAAGTGTATGGGCTCTGTGACACTTGAAGACCTTTCTTTAAAACATTTACCTCTAGCCTCGTGGATTGTTTTGGATGATGGTTGCCATTCTTCACATAGTCTTTGTTAACCTGCAAGAATCATCGTATCAGTCAACTTGTGCAATATTTCCAGGCCAGCTGGAGATAAGAAAGTACCAGTGGTTCAATTTTCATGTCTTTTATTCTGCTAGATATTTCCTAGCTAAATCGGCTTTACAATTTTAGTCAAAACACATTTCTTAAGAAAAATTAACAACTCTGTTGAGAAAAATAACAACTTTGCTATACGTTAAGACAATCACTTCTCACTGAGCACTCTTTTTAAAAAAATTTCTATGATGCTCAAATGAAATGATGCCTAAGATACTCACTTTTCTTGTACTACAGTGAAACCTTCCATGAAATATGAAGTTATTGTATGCATTGTTTTTAAATGGGTGTATTTTCAAGTGAAAGATCATGTGGATTTATTGTTTCCTTATCTAATTGCAGGAGGAACTAAAAACATCATTTGCCCATTTTACAAAACAGAAAATGATTTATTTACCAGGGGGTTACTCTTTGTTAAAAAACTTCAGTGTAAAGGATTTTCTCTTTTGACCCATATTGACCTGTACCAATGAATGGCACTGAATTGTAATCTCTGCTGAAGTTATAGACAGCCTGTAAATGACCTGTGTGCTTAGTGGCACCAGAGGCTGTTGTTAACATTTGTCTTTCAAGTGTCTCTTTAAAATGTGCCTGCCTTTCTTACCTCCTAACTGCTGGAGTGTGTCTACTGATTGGTGTAACCCTGGCTGGTTGTACTGTAGGGTAGAGTTTCGGCCCTCCAGTCGTCGGGGCGGGAGGGAACAGAAAACACCTGGCATTTCTAGCATTTTTCTTTTTGGTTGTTAACTGTTGGATCTCTTTCTCCAAGAATCTTTTATAAGAATTCACGGTAGGTCAGAGCCGCATCCTGGTGTTGTAAAACTGCAAAAAGCCAAATTCTAAAAGTCTAAGAGGAGAGTGGGGGTAAAGTCCTTTGTTAACTGGAGGGAAAAATCAACTTCCGGGGGAAGTGATGTCCAGCAGCCTCTCTGGTTTCACAGAGTGGCTGATACGTTAGATGAACTTCCCAGCACACACAAAGCATTTTACCCATCAAGTTGGAAGAGATGGAAGTGGCCTTCCTTGCTCTTGGCTTAGCATAGCCCATTATCCACCCTGCACAGCCCTGCTTCAGCGCGTCCTCCCAGGTTCATCTTTCTGCTCCTGTTGGGATCCTGACTGAGCCCTACATCAGATTGGATTTTATCCCCCTCCAACCTTGTTGCTTTCAGCTACCCTTATTAACTGTCTAGACATACTTTATATCAGGATAAAATAACAGCCTGAATATAAAACAACCATTTATTTTGATGGGTTTGCACTTTATGTTGGTTCGTCTGTTCTCTGTTTTCTCCCCCTGGCCCCCTGTAAAAAAAAACTTTACCATTAACCCTTACTGTATTTTTGTTTAGTTAATAGTGCCAAGAGTAATTTATTTTAAACCTTTGCCCTTCAGGCTCCGGATTTCTATGTGCAGATGAAATGGGAATTCACCAGCTGGGGTGAGTGGCTGTGGGCTTGTAATTTATTTCTATGCCTCAATTTATTGAGCCTGAATATAGGTTTATTTGTCCTTTATAAAAGTTAGGTATGTTTAAAAATCTAAGAAATGCATAGGTAAGAATAAGGAAAACCAGTCTACAACTACTGTTAAAACTGTGGAGTATGTTTTCCCCCTACAGAAGACTTTTTCTCCCAAGCATCTATAAATATAACATATAGACAATTTTGTCTCCTGCTTTTGTCTCTTATAGCTGACATTTGGCCATATTATTAGTTTTTTAAAATGTCACTTTAAATGGCTAAAATTTTAGCAAGGAGATTTACCATAATTTAGTTACTCATTTCCTTATGTGGTTCAACTTGATTCTTTTAATCTTGTTTTTCTAAGAAAAAAAAGGAGAAAAAGATGAGCTTATTTTAACAAAATGGATATACTTCTGTAAATTCTTACGTAAGGCACACTGACTGACAGTAATTTTTATGGATGTTCTACTTTTATTTCTTGTAGATCAGTTAAAGACAGCTCCTAACTCCCAGGTTTTCAGCCATTTTCACTTACAGACTTCCCTGTCAGGCAAGAAGTCATATTTGTAATGAAACATTTAAGTGAAGTAGGACGTGTATAAAAGAAGAAAATCTCAGATTCTTTGAGAAACTAGTTCTTTTCTAAAGCAGATAATCACTCTGATTTTAGGTCTTGTTAAAGAGCAAGCACATTGTAGACAATGGGTATTTTAATGGTAGATGTGACAATATGATAGCCTCAGCCATATAGCAAGAGTAGCATACATGAAGGAGAAAGGCCAGACCGAAACACCCGGGCCCTAATGGCCACCAATAAGAGAGGTTCCTTCTGGGAATGAGAATAGTCCTGGGAAATTCATTTATTAGAGTTTTTTCTGGCAGGACATAGATCTGCACTTTAATCAAGAGCTGTAGAACAGAAAGTGCATTTTTTAGTTTTTAAGAGTCACTTCCTATATTGCAAGTGTAGGAGCCAAGTCCAGTTCTATATGATGGTCACCATCTTGCCATCCCTGTCCTCTTATTATAAAAGTCAGAATCTTGATTTCCTGGGCCTGGGTGTTCTGCTTGGCCCTCCGCTTTTTCCCAGTAGTATATTTCTCTTCTCCAGTGCCCTTGGTTTCCAGAATATGCCCAAATGATGTCTGTCGTATTTGGAAAAGTGGTGCCAAACTGCGTGTTGATGTCACATTGCTGGGATTTGAGAACATGAGCTGGATAAGAGGGAGGCGTAGTTTTATATTCAAGGGAGAAGGTGAGTGATCCCCTTGTATTAATCACTGCTCAGTTAGAGTGATTTTTAACCATCAGAATGCACCTGATCCTGTCTGGGGCATTTAAAAAAAGTTCTTGGTAACTTTTCAGCTCTCAATTCCTGTATCTTATTTCCTTGTCTGCACAGTTCTCTTGCACACATCATGTATTACCCAACACGGTTACCTTTTGACACGTGTCTGTTTCATGTGTACAGATTGTCTTCTGTGCCTTTACGTTCTCTCCATAATCAGACGTGATCCTCCCGAGGGAGGGTGAGTAGTGGCATTGCTAAAGTAGTGTTGTGCATAGGTAATTTATATTAATTATGTAATCATCTATCTTAAAAAAACACACAGAGGAAACGTCACTAACAAAGAATGTAAATTATTTTAAATGTCTGCATCTTTAGGGAAGATGGCCTACAGCCTCCTATGAGTTTCAGAAAAGTGGCCAGGTCACCGCTGTGCAAGTAGGTAATTGATAAGCAGTGGTCTTTTGATTTTAGCAGATAACACCCAGGAGGTAGGATTTTGAACGGTGATGAATTTTAACATATGAGGTTCCCTTGTGTTCGCATCTTCCTTCCACTGCCCTTAGTTGTGTTCTTGATCCATTAACAGACACCTGGGCGGAGTTGATGGAAGTCAACCATGATGACAGAGTGGTCACCACAGAACACTTTGACCTTTCCCAAGAAATGGAGCGCCTCACTCTGGACTTGATGAAGCCAAAAGGCAGGGATATTGAGAGGCGGCTCACAAGCCCAGTCATTAACACCAGCCTTGATACTAAAAATATTGCTTTTGAAAGGTAGGAATTAAGATTCTGCATTTTAATGTCTAATCCCTTTATTGCCATCTTTAGTAGCATGTGTATATTAATTGAAAATTATGGACAGACTGGGATTTTTCTAATACGGCATAATAAATCCTAGTGGGTTTTGAAGTTGATCTCTGCTCTAATCTAATGGAAACCATAGCTGACATCCTTCATTAAATATCATTTTTATAGGACATTGGTTAAGTCTTAGAGAAATGTCTTCATATTCTTTTATGGGCCCTTTCTGATGGATTTTACTTGAATTTTACTTTTGTTTTGGTGTTTGGGGACTCACAAGACTCCCTAGTCCCAAACCATGGAGCTTTGAGTTTCTGGAAGCCAGAAGTGACCCAGTATTGAATATGGTTGTACAATTATTAGCCAGTGAGATTCATACTTACAGAGTTAAATGTGGTTCTTCCCCCCTCCTCCCCGCCCCTGAAGCCTAATAGTTTAGAACAAGAGCCTGGAGGGATTTCAGATCTATTCCAGACTCGACAGGAAGAAATTTCTGGAGAGGCTTGTGACTTCATTAGCCTGGACAAGAACTCTGTCTCTGGCATCTGCCTATGGGCTGTGCAGAGCTGTGGAGGGCCTCTGAGTGTAAGGGAGGTGGAGGTCGTCACAGCTGTTAGCCTAGGTGTTTTCACATAGAACACACTGACCCCGAGGGAGGCTGTAGGAGCCCTGAGGGCGGCTGTAGGAGCCCTGAGGGCTTGCCTAGGATGTCGCATCCAGCTCTTGGTAAACCAGGGCAGCATAACGTGAGCTAACATGGACTGTGTTGTCTTGGATTTAGGCTTTCTTTGCTCTTAATGAATATACTAACTTTCCTTGCCTCTTCTTTTTCTTTTCTTGATTTCCAGTATAAAATTTGTTTTCTGTTAAGTCAAACATAAAACTTGTTATGTGCCCTTTCTAATTTAGATTGAGCTGTGGAATTATGGCATCTGTAGTGGAAGAGAAAACCAAAACGCCAGCCTATGTGGGGTCCAGGTACTGCTGGGTCCCTGGCAGTGGCAGGGTCAGCTCTCATGGCCAGGTGACAGCCGATGTCTCCCAGGAACGGAAAAGTTTAGGGACTGTGGCTTTATCTGAAGAGTCTTGCGGAGACATCACCAGGCCTCCGCATCTGCCTCTGCAGACAGGGAGGGCACCTTAGCAGAGGGCTGTGTTCGTGAAGCTGGGAGACAGCTGCCTGCCCTCCCTGCACAGTCGGGCAGTGGATATGGTGGCTGGGAGAACCAAGTGCCATCAACAGTGCTTCTGAGTTAACTGTGTGGCTTTGGGCAAGTGCCTTTGTCTCTTTGGGATTCTGTTTCCTTAGTTGAAGGAGAAAAAGGAGTCTAGAGATGAAGCTTCTGAAGTCCTCAACTCTAAGCCGTCATGAGAAGGAAGAGCCACTGCTCCTCTAGTCCATCAGCAGAGTTGCTGGGGTCACTGTTCTTAGCCATGATCTACAAAGGGTGTGACGATTATTGGCTGTTAACCCACTGAGGGTAGATGGGAGACGATGGCATGTTCCATTTGTGCTGGGGACCAAGGCACATTTTGTATTTGTATGGTCACAAGGTTTTCAAACAGTTCAAGCTAACCTCCCTTTTGCAGGGACAGTGGGTTGCTGAGAGAGAATTTCTGAAAGACAGCTGCTTTTTTTGTGGTGCTCAGAATTAAATAGGCGATCATTGAGTTTCTTGAGCATTGAGCAAGCATTTAAGCTGCTCAAGCGTGAGGTGTGCTGATAGAAAAAGTGTGCCCATCTGTTTTTTACCAGAGGTGTGTGTTCATTTGATTGAATTTTGAAGGTGTGGCCCTCGTGTTATATAGTCACTTTCATCCATTTTTCTTTTAATTGTTCCTTGGAGCTTGATGCTTCCAAACGAATACCCTTCCTGCATGAAATTTTTGGCAGTTGGGATTTTTTTTCTTCTCTGCCCACATTAAAAAATTCCCTGCCACCCTTAGAGCCATTTTTCAAATTGTGTGGCAGCCTCCAAGCCACAGCTTCTGCTAAGTGGTCTTTGGTGTGTTGGTCTCAGTGGAGAGACGCAGAGGTAAAATGGCAACGGAGGGAAGCTGCCGTCTTCATCCTCCTCTGCATGTGAAGTTAGTCAAGGGCCAAGGAATTGTTAGGATCCGGGTTTTAAAATAGGATGTAGATACTGAGTTTAAGAACTATGCTGTCAGACTGGAGATAGAAGAGGAAGTGGCGAGCCGGGGTTGTGATGGAGCAGATGCGGACAGGCGAGGAGCGCGGAATCCTCGGGGAGCAAAGCGCAGCTCCGTGTTCTCGGCGTGCACGGAAGATGAAGCGAGGCAGACCTAGTCATCCCTGGGTATCTCGGAAGACCTTGTGTCAGAAAACAGTCATTTCCCATGCCAGTATATCCAGTGATTCAGTGGAACACAGGGACTGACAATTGCATTCATTAACTAAAAGGAGTATCTTGATTTTCAATTACTGATGACCGAAAGGGGGCTCTGGTTTATTAATCGGTCAGTGTGGTCCCTATCCCCATCCCCACTGTTAACTTTGTGACATGTTCGTTGGAGGTAGCTAGCATTTGGTGTTAATCTCTTTAGGATTCCTCTCCTCCCTCCATGGGTCAATGCTGCACTAATTGAGGCAACTAATAGGAAAATCAAAGCTCTGATTCCACCTTTCTTTGGTGGGCAGTAATACACACAAAACTCATTATACCCTGTCTGGGCTAATCTTCATTTACCAAATCCTGTGAGAAGAAAAGAAAACCATTTGGAAACACAGCATGCAAATAGCCACATACCTTCTTTGTGACTTGGCTGAGCTGCTGCGACAGTGTCCCAGCTGCTTGGGTGGTGACCCACTGCACTCCTGGCTCAGCAGAAGGCAGGCAGTGCTCCCCCACAGGGCTGCGCGCAGCAGTCACAGTGGAGCCGGGATGTGATGTGCTGGACAAAGGGGCAGGTTGGGCAGGGCTGCCCGTGAGCGCTCTAGTATCTCCCAGGGTGAGTGCTTTGAAAAAGACACAGAGCCTCTTGCCTGCTCTTGGTCCTGAAATGCATTTCTTCCAGGAGTATATTGAGTAACTGAGTTTCCAGGCACTTCGCCAGCGCTGCATCGGCTGCTGGAATGCTGGGCAACACTAAAAGCAGTTCTACAGACCTGGGTTTGATGGCTGGGCTGACCAACTGCTTTTAACACCCTTTCCCCGTGCTGCATGCAACTTGATAAAACGCATGACTCCCAAGCCATTTTGCAGGCATTAACGGCTTCTCTGAGCAACTTGCCATGTGATGAGTTCCTACCCCACCCATTCATTCCAAGCAGCAGGATGGTCTCTTGTTCTAAGAATTCCTTGATTGAGATACAGCTGCTGTGGGGAAAGAGCCGCTGACATCCATGCCCAGTTAAGATGACCCAGATATATTTTCTGACCCATATACCACCTTGAGGTGAGCGCTTGGACGTTGGTCATGTTCAGTCACTTCTTTAGGACAGCAGTACAATAAATGTCATGACCTTTGTCACCTATTCTGGCAGGTTTTGTAAAGAAGCCAAGAAAGGAGGCTTTTTATGCCAGGGGTGAGGCACATAGATCAATTACTGTGGGAGGTGGGTGGGGGATGTTTAAGCCATCTGTCATTGATAACATCCTTTTGTGGACAATAGGACTATAATTTCCAAGTGTCCTTCACTAACTTAAGCTGGGGGAAAAAAACTATAAAGGCTGCAGGGATAAATCTGAATGGCATATTGTACATGTAGAAATTTGTGGTGTTCACTTTTTATCAGAACTAAATCCGGATTCTGGGGCTGGAGGACAGATAAAGCAGAAGTTGTTAATGGTTACGAAGCAAAGGTAAAAGGAAACTCTTAAAATAAGATTTAATATAGCTGTTTAGCATCTATGCAAATGAGGAGTCTATTCAGATTTTTTTCATGCATCTGTGCCATGGAGATGCTCTGGGGAGTATTGTGTAGTGTATCTCGCTTGGATTTTTATCTTAATTTGACTCTCAGAAAACAGGATAGCATGTCCTAAGGAGGTCTCTAGCTATCAAAGAGAAATAATGTGGTAGGGAAATGAGCACAGTTACCACTAGTTGTCTCAGTAGGAGTGACAACTTTTAATTCCTTAAAGAAAAAAAAAGGATTAGACTTCACATGCTTGTTCACCTTTTCTTAAATAATGTAAGTGGTTTAAAAAATATTGTAGCTTTTAGGAGTCTCCATTTGTTTAGCCAGCCACATTGTAACCAGTAGCTTTTGAGCCCACTTACATGACATCAGTGAATTTAGAGAATAGTTGTCATAGAAGAGATGACAGTTGATCAGCTGGCATTTTTGTCAGCTGGAAAGCTGTTTCCTGGCCTTCTGTTAACCCCGCAGTCCAGCAGGGGTTGGTGGCTCACAGTGGCGGAGCCAGGCACCGCAGGATCCTCTGGTGACCTCTGAGCGAGCAAGCAAAGAAAGCTTACGTCATGCTCAGCAGGACACATTCAGAAACAGCCATTCCAGCGCTGCGTGTGTTTCCTGAATCTTTGAACACTGGGAATCCACGTATGGCACACACTGCTAATTCTGTTTACCGTGCTTGACTTTCAGACCCCCCTGTTCCTCAGTCAGCCTTGAAAACAGAGCATTTACTCTGGCAGTTAAAATAATTTTTGTCAATATGCAGAGCACCTTTTAAAGAGTGACTTGCTGGTCTTCTCTAAATCTTGTAGGTATGGAGAACCTGTGTTTATTCCTTTTTCCTTCCGCCAAACAGATGGCTGTCTAAATCCTATTATAAGATTACCACGAGTCAGTAGAAGTATACACGATGCAGGTTTGGGGACCTTAGTTTATTAGAAATACAGCTGGGAGTCCTCAATTGCAGGACATTGGGAGTATTTAGCAACAAGAAGGGCAGGTAGGAAGACAGAGCCTATCACTGTAGCTTCTCGGGATTTAAAACTGTCAGAGATGCTTTTAAAGTAACTGCTGATGCATTTCTAAGTTGATAGCTTGCGTATTTTCTCTGAGGGATCCTAATGATTCTTAACCATTTCTCATTTTTATTTTGCTGGAATTTTTTTCTTTTTTGCTTCAGCATTCTTGCTCTTGCTATGCTTATCTTTTGAGTTTTGATCCCCTGTGTCACTGTTTTCTTTTGCACACGTCTCTCAAGGTTTACACAGTAAACAATGTGAGTGTGATAACCAAAATACGGACAGAACATCTGACCGAGGAAGAGAAAAAGAGATACAAAGGTAATCTTCCCTGACTTCTTTTTGGCCACGAGAGAGGCTTTGTTGGCCCTGCTAAGTTTGGGAGTTACTGTGATTGGGTCATGCTGATCCTAACCCTAACTTCCCTTTTATAAACATTTCATTAGTCTGACTCATTCTTGGAGGTATTTCCCCATAGTTGGCTTCAGCTATAATTAAAGCCATTCTCGAGGGCTTGATTATGTGTTATGAACAACAATTGTTGGGTTCCTTCAAAAAAGTAGACAAGGATATTGGAGACTATTTGTCATGGAATAAGTGATTTAGTCCAGACTGTCATGATGAAACATTTGTACAGAACTTGGGCTCTGAGCTAAAACCTTTCTAGTATGTGGCTGCCAAGTCCCAGCTCTGTCAGTGGCAGTTCTGCGATCTTGTGGTTACCTGCCCTCCGCCTCAGTTTCCTCAGCAGTGAATGGAGGTGCTGCCAGACCTTCCTTAGTTATTGGGAGGATAAGATGAGTTATTTTATGTGACCCTTTAGGACAAGACCTGCTGTATGTGGCAGGCATAGAGTAATTGTTAACTGCCAACACCAACACCACTATTACTGTTACTCCAGTTTGACAGATGAGGAAACTGAGTCCCAGGACACATGGGTATTGACGAGCCAAGGTGAGACTGGAATCCAGATCTGGCTCACTCCCAAAGCTAAACTCTTTCTACTTTTCTGCTTTAATTATTATAACTGTTGTTTATCTAGAGATCCTAGGGAAAAAAAGTGTCTTATAAAGGACAAATTAACTGATGGTTATTGTGAATGATTTTATCAGCCTGTCCATAAATGGATTTCCTAATGTAGGTAGATTGGATCAGAAACTTTAAAATAGGATGAGAATCTTTTTCTGTAGTCATAAGGAAGGTGTAATATTAGACATTAAACTTCTGCCCCCTCTGTAGCGGACAGGAACCCACTGGAATCTTTGCTGGGAACTGTGGAACACCAGTTTGGTGCTCAAGGGGTAAGTTGAAACAACAAGCTCTCAGCACGGTTCAAAGAAAGGAGATGACTTTTCTGAGCTTGTGATGGTGTTTACAGAATCCCAAACAGGCCACTCTTTCTGAAAAGGCTAAAGAGCATTCCCAAGCTGGAATTCAAGATATTCTTGAGGAAAGAATTCAAGGAGTGTGTCTCTAAAAATAAAGATTTTAGAGTGGGGTGTGATTATAAATAAGATGCTTTCTCATGTTATGAACTACAACTTCTCTGTAAAACTGGAACTTTAGAAGCATTCAGGACTTTACATTTTAACACAGTACCTTAATGAGCATTTTTGGACTTGATTCTCACAATTACTACATTAAGTTAGTACAGTAGGTATCACCGAGGGTCAGAAAATATGTCACAAGCTAGAGAATTACAGAGCTGAACTTAAACCCCAAGTCTTCCAGATCTCAGGTGCTTTCAGATATTTCTCTCTTTCTTTTCTATAATCAGGAGATAAAAAATGCAAAGGAGAGTGGAGAAATGTTTTGAAATGGAGAAATCCATTAGACTTGCCATGTAGTTTGGTAACACCTTTGTCAATTTTCTTGTTCTGTGCAGTAACTTAGTAAAAAAAGAGTTAATGACTAGAACTTCCTGATGTGTAGCTGGCTAACATGTTCACCTCAGAGACTGAGTGCCCGTAGGCCTCCACTATGAGCATCACTTGGCATTTCTGATTACCCTGAGTTCTGGCTCGGCAGGACCTCGCCACAGAATGTGCCACCGCCAACAACCCCACAGCCATCACGCCTGATGAGTACTTTAATGAAGAGTTTGATCTGAAAGACAGGGACATCGGAAGGCCAAAGGAGCTGACGATTAGAACACAAAAGTAAGACTCAGTGGCTACTTTCAACTTAGATTCTTGTTTGGAAGTCGTGTACAATTATTATTCTGTCCCCTTCCTTTAAAAATAATGTTTAAGTTACTTTATCTGATAAAAGCTAGCAGTAGATTGCCCATGTTATTAGCCCCTCTCAAGACAGAATGTAGATTGCTAAGAATTCTGGGTGGTCTGCGCCAGCTGTCAGTTTCTTCATGCTTGCTGTCAGTTCAGGCTGTTGTAGGGGGTGATTAGAGTGCAAGCCATTTCGCGATGGCCAGATTTCTGGGCGATCGGAATTCTTCCTGGCTCTACTCCTTCCACAGCCTGAATTAAGAGACATCAGATAACAGGGAAGACTGGAGTAAGGAAGCTGGTTTACTAGCCTACTGCATACAACTAACTCATCTTCCGTGCACGGTGGAGATGGCCTCAGTCTTGTCTTGGTCAAATCCTGCAGGTTTAAAGCAACGCTGTGGATGTGTGAGGAGTTTCCCCTCTCTCTCGTGGAACAGGTCATTCCCATCATTGACCTAATGGCCCCAACTAGTGCTCATTTTGCAAGACTGAGAGATTTCATCAAACTGGAATTCCCACCTGGATTTCCCATCAAAATAGGTATCGTTGAATAAACCACAGGAGCACTTGTAGGTTCTGATCATTTTTGTGGGTGGCAGAATGTGCTTCAGGAAATTTGAGCACTTGAGGCAAAAGTGGCATGCAGTACATGTGAAGGAGGTCACAATCATCCTCAAGCTTAATTTGATTTAAAGAGGTGTCGTGATTCTTGGCTCATTTTGCGTATCCAAAATAGACTTTCTAACCATTAGTTCTATTTACAGATGGTGCTGACACCTGTAAAAAGGCATAAAAATGTGACACATTCTTTGTTTTACTCTCAAACCTTACTTAAGTGAGGCTTTAAGCTACTGCTAGTTTTTGAG